TGTCTCTTGTCCATAGTACTGAAAAACCAGTGTTTTGTATTTTTTAAATCTGATTTTGGATTGTTTTATAAAAGATGGTAAACATGCTTTTTATTATTCTAACTTGTCCAGAAGTAAGGACAGTTTGTAGGAATTAGCTCTTAAACACTTAGGACACTAAGACATTTTAATGACTATGTTTATTCATGGAAGATTACAGGACCAAGTCAAATCAGAATTAGCTACCAGTAATATGAAGACATGAAATCTAATCCACTTATTGTCATTGTCTTTTGCGTGTGTGGTATATGTGCTGCATGCACATGCATGTATGAACACATCCCTATACACATGCATGTAGAGGCCAGAGGATGACCTCTGATGTCCTACTCTATCACTCTCCTCTTTATTCCCTTGAGGCAGAGTGTCACTGAATCCAGAGGTTTTCAGTTCGGTTAGGCTGGGTGAGAGGATGTGCTACCTGGATGAGCTACCTGGCTACTTGTAAATTTCCCAGTATTGTAGAAACAATGCACTCCCTGAAACTGCCCACATGAGATGGTCTGCCTGGCTGGCTGCAGTAGGAATGGCTGGGTAAAAACAGAAGGTAAAGCAGAAATTAGTTAGAACAAAATGGAGTTAGTTTTGCCATTTCAGTATCACTTTGTATACCACAGCTGACTATAATTGCCATCATCATCATAATAAAAAAATTATAATAACTATAATATGATAATACTGATGACCTATCATAATCAGATAATGCTGCTGCTGCTGCTAATGATAATGATGAATGATAGGGGTTATGCAGTGTTTCCCTTATCATGGTGTTGAGACTTAATAAACCATGGAAATGCAGCTGTTAAAACAGAATTGAAGAGATAAAATAATTATGATAATAATTATAATAAGATAATATCACTTATTTATCATAATAAAATGATGATAAAAAGTAAGTGTTATGCAGTGCATCCCTTATCGTGGTGCTGAGACCTAATAAACCACAGGATGCAGCTGTTAGAGCTGAAAAAAGATTGGCTATTGCTATTCTAATTTTTAAAAAATATTTATTTATTTATCTTTATGTTAATGTGTGTGTACCTGCATGAGTTTATGTGCACCACATGTGTGCACATGCCCACAGAGGCCAGAAGAGGGAATAGGGTCCCCATAGAACATAGAGTTACAGGTGGTCATCATATACTGCTTGGTATGGATGCTGAGACCTGAACCTGCGTCCTCTAGAAGACCAGTCATCATTCTTACCCACCAAGCCATCTCTCCAGGCCCTCTCCTAGTTTCTTAGTATGGGAAATTTCTTAGTGCAAAGATCTCCTAATATAAACATATTAAATTGAGAAACTATAACATTCTCAAAACTGGAAAATATATCAATTTGATTCTTTCACAACTTCAAGAATATCTTTGTTTTTGTTTTGTTTTGAGGCAGGGTCTCACTATGTAGCCCTGGCTGGTCTGAAACTCACTATGTAGATCAGGATGGCCTCAAACTCACAGAGATCTATCTGGCTCTGTCTCCTGGGTACTGGGATTAAAGGTTTGCATCAGCACACCTGACCGAGAACATCTTAATGAGCCTTTTGTATCACTTATATTGTAGATTCTGAAATAACCTAATTGTAGATTCTGAAATAACAAAAGCATTATAAAAATTCATCATAAAACAAACTCATTATATTAGATGAAATATCTTATTAAAGAAATATCATCATAGTTAATTTTTCATCAAATGCTTCTTCACAAAAGATGTAAGCAAGGACCCTAGAGTACTAGCCAGCTCAGTAAACAGAGAATTGGGTAACCTGGTATGCTTTTCTGTTCTGCTAAGTGACACTGGGAAGTGGAGGGTGGCTTTCTCCTCTTAGGGGAGTTAAGAGAAAGAAGTTCCATACTTCAGTCCAAGCATGACAACTTAGTATTTTGTCTTTGGGGGAAATAGTCTCACCTCTTTGTTTTTTATTCATCAGCTATGAAATTAAGGAAACAGATTTAAAATATTCAATGTTTATTGCCTCTGTCATTAGCCCTATTACAAGGAGGCTCACAGCAAATTCCAATATTTTTATTAAGACTGTGGGACCTTTCATAGCACAGACACATGGGCAGACCAAGTTAGGTGTCAGTGTAAACTACAGTCTAAACAGATGAAGTTCATGCTTTGAGTGATGATCCTAGGAAATTATCAAGACTTGTGTGAGATCTCCTAAGGTGAATCTGGCAAAATATCAAGATAATACCACTGACCTATTGAACATCTTACAGCAATGATACCTTAATATAATATAAGCCACTCTTTTAATATTAGAATTTTGCAGATTTTTAAGACTTTATTTTTATTTTTAATTATATGCATATATGTGTATCTGTGTATTGGTTTGTATATGTGAGTGCAGTGTCCACAGAGGCCAGAAGAGGGCATCAGATCCTATGGAGCTGGAGTTTCAGGTGGTTGTATGCTGCTCCAAGTGGGTGCTGGGAATGGAACTCAGGTCTTCTGCAAGAGCAGTCTGGGCTCTTAATGACTGAGCCATCTCACCAACTCCAGAATTTTGTCATTTTTAGAGGCTTTGTTGTGTTTTGAATTAGAATGCCCCCCATAGGCTACAAGTATGCCACTGGAGGAGAGTTTTGAGAGCTTTTAAGCCTTGCTGGATTTCCAGTGCTCTGCTTGCTGTGCCTGCTTGAAGATGTAAGCACTCCACTTTGCTGTTATGATGGACTCTAATCCCTCCGGAACTGTAAGCTCAAATAAACTCTTCCTTCTATAAGTTGCTTTGGTCAGTGTTTTTGATCACAGCAACAGAAAAGTAACTAATTCAAGCCCTAAATGTCATCCTTCTCAAATGAACATGAATAATTTTCTTTTTAAACTCAAGAATAAAATTAAGGGGAAACTCCTTGCAACTAGCATCCATCCATCTATCTATCTATCTATCATCTATCTATCTATCTATCTTCTATCATCTATCTATATCTATCATCGATCATCTATCTATCATCCATCTACCATCTATCTATCTATCTATCATCTATCATCTATCTATCATTGATCATCTATCTATCCATCATCTATCTATCATCTATCTATCTATCATCTATATATCTGTCTGTCTGTCTATCTATCTATCTATCATCGATCATCTATCTATCCATCATCTATCTAGCTATCTATCATCTATGTAGAATGTTTAGATGTTTAGTATTATGTTTATAGCAACAGTAAACATGCCAAAGACAAGTTTTAGTCAGCTGGTTGTTAAACATTTGTTTTCTGAAGAAAGTTTAAATAGATTCATATGGTTTTATTATAGCAATGAGGAAAGAGTTATTTTTCTCTCAGTTTGTGTTTAATAATTGAAAAAGAAAGCTTTACAAGTTGGTAAATATCAGATCATAAAAAGGTAAACATATTTTAACAATCTCAAAATATACAAGGAAACCAGTACAGAATGCATTTATCAGCACATTTCTTGTGTAAATTAGGAAAAACCACTTCATAATTTGTTTTACACATTTTTCCTTAAAATAATTTTCTTATTTTAATCCAAAAAAGGATTTATTTTATGTATCTTCCCTTAAAATAGTTTTCCTATTTTATTGTAAAAATGAATTTATTTTCAAATAAAAAGATAAAGTCTTAAAGTCAGCTCCAAAGATCAATGGTGAATGATAGATCAGTGCACTTTTATTCTTTTGTTTTCCTATCTTGAAAGAAGTATAGAGTAAAGGACCGTGGCATTTTTTACCCTCTACTACCCTTTGAAATTCCTGCTTCCAAAATCTTCTGTGGACTAAGAAAAGCGTCTGTAGAAGTTGTAGTGAGCACATGCTATCTACATTGGCTAGTAAAATGTATTATATTTTTGTCCACTACTTCCCCACCCTAGCAGATCTTTTGAGGAAAAAAAACAAAACAACAAAACAAAGTGGTGTATTCATGAAATTGTGTCCTTCACAGATTACCATACATATGTGTACGTGTGTGTGTGTGTGTGTGTGTGCAATGCAATAACACAGTAGAAATAGAAAACTTTCATCATTCACATAAATATCCACAGAAATGAGAAAGCTGGGCTAACCTAAGACTTAAGATCTGCACTCATTCTTTAAAAAACAACACAAACAAGGTAGAAATTCAATAATGTAGTAGGAATGCTGAGCTGCCCTATCTCCAACTTGCCCTGATGTAGATGAACTCCATAACCTAACTAGTCTTTGGCAGGCAGCGAGTATAGCCCCATTGTCTTTAATATAATTGGCTTATGTAAACCAGACGTTAGTTCTGTGCAATGACCAAATCACACTGCCTCATTATTAGTTCTGTAACTGTCTCCATGAAATTAATTCCACCCTCTGATCTTTTAATGTGTGCACGAAGCATAATGAGACATGCTTCAGTTAATAGCACATATTCAGTTTGGAGCAATCTGTAAGCATTTGGCCCTGTGATCACACACCTGTGATTAGAGCTGTAGGTTGAATGCAGATCATATTGGTGCTGTCTTTCCTTGGGGTGAATAGCCTTCAGTTTATATCCCAAAAGCAACTGGACAGAGAGGTAATATACAGTATTTATGTCTAAAGCATTTCAAACTTGGGAAAAGGAATGGGAGTTAATTTTTCTAATTAATTGAAGATATTCTCTATCTATGTATTATAGTCACAGGAATTCAAAGTTTATTGGTAACAACCTTTAGAAAAAGAGAAATATAGAATCTTAAAGAAAAACACAATTTTTTCAAGATTTTGTTTGATATAAATAAAAGATAAGTTTTGAAATAAGCAGCATTTATATCTAGTTATAAATTCAGTTAAAAACACAGTCACAATTTACAAAGCCTGTAATTACAAATCACAAAGAAAACAAGCAGCCTCTCTTGACATTCACTATGCATCTTGTTACTTATCAATTTCCTGCCCTGTTACAAATTCAATATTAAAATTACATTAACATTCAATACTGATTTCAACATTGAAATTTATCAAAATGATTAAAAACAGTCAACTAGAAAAAAGCAATACACCAAAAATATTTCCAGGTCTCTCATTGTATTGGCCACCAGACAGAGAAAATGCTGTTGACTTTTTTTGACAGGACACGTGGCTCTGCAGTTCAGAACTCTGGAAATGTAGGCGGAATGGAGAAGAGGAATAATGGGAAAGGAATCGCAGATAAGCTTGCAAGGAACAAAAAACAGTTCAAGTTTGCCTTTTACATTTGAACAAAAGTTCTGTTCCATATTTAAAAGCAGGATCAGGGTTTATGGCCACTTAACTTCTCAGCTAAGATTCATTAACTATTATACAAATTAAAGCTCCATTTGCAAAAGAGCATTTCACCTGGGGAGAACTACTCCACAGAGACTAATGGCCACTGCATTTCCTGTGGGGCAAATTGCTAAGGAGGAAGATTCACTGAGGGAATAGGGGCTTTCTGGAGACTTGAGGCTGCAGAGGTCCCTGGACAGGTGGCACTGGACACCTGCTGTGATGGCAAGAACAGGACAGCCCAGGGGCAGGTCAGCCACAGCCCCCTGAGAAGACACACTGACTGGTGAGTTCACTTCGGACAGGAGTCCTAGCACTCTTCACTTTTTGAGACTTTGGATTCATTTTTTTGGTGTAACTTTCTCCGTTGATGAATGCGAATGGCTATGGCAGACACGCAGAGCAAAATAAATAGTACAACTGCTATCACACCTGAAGAGAGAAGAGGAAACCAAGTCAGAATACTGAGCTCTGACCCAAGGTTTTACTGCCATCACTGTTCTATGAGTTAGGTTAAAACAACAGAGACAATGACTGAATCATACATCCAAACTACTGAAACTTGGCCGCATGATTTTATAATAAATTGCTGTCCACAGCGGTGCCTACTTGCAAAAGGTCATCACAATTTGGCTTGTTGACTGTTGTGTTCCTTCATTAAAAGAGGGGTAAAGCAGAATCATTGGACCTTCACCTGAGTATCCAGCCACTCTTCCCAGCCAGCTGTGTGTAATTCTACCCTAATCAAAAATGACCTTCTGATTTATTATATAGTATATAATCTTAGTAAGAGAGGGCTTGACCCATGAGGTTATAAAAAAAAGTCAACATCCATGCTGGGTAAAGGCATTCCAGTGCAGGTACTCTCAGGTCACCCATGTACCGTGGTAATTCCTCACTCATCTCTATAAGTAAACTTCTGGTTCCCTAGGGTGAACTTTCATCAAACATTGGTTTGACACTAGAACCTTAAAAAGGAATAAACATTGCTTAGTATCCTCAAGAAGAAAGTTCACACAACAAATAGAAAATTTATTTGTTGGTGTTATCATATCTCATGGTTATTAAGAAAGAAAATGGGAAGGTAAAAGAAGATGTTAGAATGACATGTAAATGGAGATATTTTATTAAGAAGGATTTATGTATGAAGATTATGATAGCTGGATATTTCCAGAATAGGAAAAAATGGGACAGTCTATGCAAATAAAAAAGATCTGTATAGGTTTGTTACCATGTATAAATGATAAGACAGAAATAACACATAGATAATCTTAAATTTTCCAAGGTCATAGTTCAGTCAGTTAGTTTAAGGAACAAAATATATGTCTAGTCAAGGTTTATCTGAGACTGTTTGGTTTTTGCCAAAGCTTTATCTACATATTATATGGTAAGTAAAGTACCAGATTGGTGTAACTAACCTTCTTGGGTGTTTAATAGCTGTACTCTAAGGCCTATACTAATCTGGTTAGAGGGACTTAAAGGGATAATTTTTTTGTTCCTTGTCCTCCAAGGTTGACAAAGTCCCAAGGGACTATGAAGCGTCTCTCAAAATGTCCTGTAACTATGATGAGTCACCTGTCCTCCAGTTCAGAGAGGCCATGGAAACCCCACTGGAAAGACTCAAATCAGTATTCAGTCTGCAAAGAGGACGGTCAACACAGAGGAAACATGTCCTTAATTGTTCCAAAGGCATGACCCAGCAAGGATTCTGACTTATTGTTGATGGAACTGGTAAAAGAAAGGCCCAAGGAACCAGAGGCTCCTCCTAAGCCCACATGAGGAGCAAATCCTCAACCGACCTTAAGAGTAAAAATAAATTGGTTTATTTGGGCCAACTGCATGGTCTTAAACACCCAACATGAAAGTATAACCAAAGAGTAAAATGATTGGTATATTTCTTTAAGAGTCCAAAGGATTGCATTTCTCAGACGTTAGGCTTAAGTTCACATAAGATGTTATTTAGACAATTTCTCACTAATTACTTTGTTCTTAATAAGAAAATGCTGTTTGGGTGTAAGACTTCGAATCCTGGCCTAATCAACTCTGAAGTCCCTATCTGCAGCCGAAAGAAAAAACCCACTATTGTTATCTAAAAATTAAATGATGGCTAAATTTCTTCTCTCTCCCTGTCTAGAAGTCATTTGGGAGGGAACTCACACTGTGATTCTACTCACTCCAACAACTATGAAAGTACCTGAAAAGCAAATCTTGAGTCTATCCATTGGGAGCCAAAAGAAAAACGAGGAGAAACCCAGTAGACAGATGCATTTGGAAGCTCTCATCAAGAAACTCTAATTTGAAAATTCACCCTGTTCTGATTTCTCCTGGTCCCTGCCTAGAATTTGGGCCCTACTACTCTTGCCTTTACTTCTCCTTCCCCTCCCTGGCCCACTGATACCCACCCTCCTCATAATGATGATTATTCTATGCTTTAAAATTTTTTTCAGAACACAATCAATGAGATGGCCCAACCAGACGCTCTTAACCAAATTCCCTCAAGTCTCCTACCACTGCTTGCCCACCTGACTCCACACTTCAGACTGATGTTCCAGCCCTTTGAGACCACCCCTTCCTTGCCGATGTCCCTGTCCCACAGGAAGTAGGTGAAGAAAGACCACTGTGGCCCCTTATCATCAACAAAAGGCTGCAATATTAGGTTCCTTGCAGGCTCCTGAAATGGTGGCACAGCTCCTAACATTCTAAAACAGTGGGTCTGGGCTTAGCCCTGGAAAGTCCCTCTGTTTATTGGGAGACCAACCAATCCTGAGCTAAACTGCCCAGCCTATGTCACAGAAAGTTACCCAACCACCTAACTACCTATAAAAGATGTCTGACTTCCTCTGCTTGCTGCTGTTTCTCTGCTCCCCAAGAGGCAGCCCAGCAGTCTATTTGCTCTCAAATAAACTGTTGTCCCTCATGGAGGTGTCTAGTTGGTGGTCTTTGCTGTATCCACTTCCATACAACTACTACTTTGGGATACACCTATTAGGAGTCTTCTCTAAAATCAAGGGATTGAATTTGAGCAAATGCTTTCAGATTTACATGTAGAAACAAATACAAAAAATTTAAGAATGAAATATTTTTTTTAAAAAGAGAACAGAGAACAACTGTTGTTATGAAGGTAAAGGTAAGGCTATTACACACAGCCTCCTTCTCTTCTTTAAAGACCACAGCAGATCTCAGACAGGACAGAGATTGCAGTTGTGACTTACTGTTTAGCAGCCATAAACTTCTGCTTGTACGCAGGAAATCTTGTCAATGATATTTGATTCAGAATAACAAAATTCCAAAGATTTTTCCTTCATTATCAATTTTCCTAGCTCTTAGAAGGCTGGGTATTAACTTTTACATTGTGCAAACATTGGCAGGCTGGGAACATATTGAAATTACTTTTATATTGCAATGAAAAATCTTCTCCAAAGAAAATAAAGATTCATTAAGGAATACATGAGTTAAAATCCAATGCAAAATTATTACTTTTGGATATGCATTACTGACTGTTTCTATAGAAAAAAATTTTAGAAGTTTTTGTTGGTTTTGGGGGATGACTCAGTGGGTAAGAGGGCTTGCTGCACAAGTATGAGGGCCTGAGTTCAAATCCCAAATACCCACATAAAAAAAAGCCAAGTGTCACTGTGCTTGCCTATAATTCTGCGGCAGAGACAGGAGAATTGCTGGGGATTACTGGCTACCAGTCTAACTCCAGGTTTAATGGTAAAACTTGTCTCAAAGGAGTGAGGCAGAGAGTGATAGAGGAAGAAACCCAAAATTCTCCTCTGCTTTCTACATGCATGCAGGGTATATGCGCCCTCACTCAGGAGTACTGTAGCTCCGACCTATCGTTACCTTCAGCATCCCACACATCCTAGTGAACCCGGCTACTTTCAAATAAAGAACCTTTCCTTCTTTTGTAACTCTTCTTAAGAATCATCTTTCTGTGGAATTCTTACGCTTACCATCTCTAGGGACCCCGAGTAAACAAAAACTCAGAAAAACAACATGCTCTAAACACCTCTTTGACCTCACCATCCAGTGTTCTTTTTTTTCTATTATGCTAATTAGCTCGTTATCAAAGTGTAATCCTGGGAAGGACCAGTTCTGCTTAGGTCTTTACCTCCGATGAGTCCAGAATCGCTCCTGTCAGCGTTAGGAAGGGGCTGTCCCTCTCCTGCGGATCCAGAACGACCTACAGTGGAAAGGAGAGAGGCAGAGACGACTTGGCACAGAGGGAGGGGAGCGGGCTGCAGGCCTGCGGGGTGACGCGGGGGACCACGCACCTGCGCCCCCAGCCAGCCGTGGAGCCAGTTCCCGCGCCGCGGAGCCCGGGCCCTCTGCGCAGCGCGTCGCAGCAGCCACGCGGCCGTAGACAGTGACCCGGGCGCGGCCAGGGCGCAGCGCAGCCTTCAGCGGGGCCGCAAAGCCGAAGCGCACCGCGGAGAGGCAGCCTGTGAAGCCACCGGCAGCTGCGCGCCGCGTGTCCGGGTCCACGTCCAAGGGCTCTGCGAGCAGAAGAGAGGGGCACACGGTCAGGGCAAGCGTCCCTCATGGTCACCAGCTCCTGGAACACCCAGCCTTGCCCTGGTGGCCCTTGTGTGCCATCCTCACCACACGTGGCTTTTAACCCGAGGGGCTTTCAGTGCGCAGAGCTCGCTCTGTAATTAACCAGTCTGTATGCTGGGGATGACCTCAAGAAATTAATTATTCGTTTATTTCATTCTTTGAGAATGACAGGGTCTCATGTAGCCCAGGCTGGCCTCCAACTCACTGTACAGCTAAGGATGACCTTGAACTTCTGAACCTCCTGTTTCCACCACGCCCAATTTGAAATTAACCTTAATTCGTACAATAAAAATATCATTAAAGTACACTGAAAAAATTTATTACATTTATTTATTTATTTATTTATTTATCTGTTTATTTATTTAGTGTGTGGGAACTTGCACATGGTGTGGAGGTCAGAGGATGACTTTCAGGAGTCTTTCCCTCTCTCTACCAGGTGGGTCCTGTGTGGGTGTCTTTACCCATCAAGCATCTCCCTGCCCTGTAAACTTTTAATGGGGCTCACAGCCAGTAATTCATGGATTTACAGTAGTGACTCCTGGAGGTAAGGATGAAGGTCTGGAAATTCTATTTCACTGCCTTTGTTTATTTTATTCAGTTGCTTCCTCCCTCCCTTCTTCCTTCCCTACCTCCCTTTTTTCCTTTTTTAATCTTTTTTAAAATTATTTTTATTTTATGTGTATGAGTATATTGCCTGCATGTATGTAAATGCACCTGTGTAGTGTGATGCTCATGGAGGTCAGAAGAGGGCATCAGAACCCTTACGGACAGTTGTTAACTGCCATGTGGATACTGGGAATCGAACCTGGGTCCTCTGCAAGAGCAATCAGTGCTCTTAACTGCTGAGCCATCTCTCCAGGCCCCCTTCATTTCTTTTTTGAGACAGGGTTTCACTATGTAGTCCTGATTGACCCCCAAATTCACTACGTAGACTAGGCTGGTCCCGAACTCACAGATCCAGCTGCTTCTGCTTCCCCAGGGCTGGGATTAAAGGTGTGCATCACTATGCTCAGCCAAATTGTACTTTTTAAACAAGATTTGCATTTTAAATTTTGTGTGTGTGTGTGTGTGTGTTTGTAGGTGCCTGTGGAGGCCAAAATAGGACACCAGATGGCTTGGAGCTGGAGTTACAGGTGGTTGTGACATGATCAGTGTGGGTGCCTGTGGAGGCCAAAATAGGGCACCAGATGGCTTGGAGCTGGAGTTACAGGTGGTTGTGACATGATCAGTGTGGATGCTGGGAACTGAAGGGGTCCTCTGGAAAAACCGTGCATGCTCCTAACTGATGAGCCTTCTCTTCAGCCCATGAGCCTTCTCTTTAATCCCTTCTTGGCGCACCTGCCTGGTCTGACAGCAAGGATGCATTTCTTGAGTGCTTTAGCTGCTGCTTGCTAGATCTTAGTATTCTTTTTCAACAGTGCAAGAACATTTAGCTATATTAAAAACTCTATTATGCAACCTAATCCATTCACATTAGAGTAATGACGTCTGTATCTGACATAATCCAACTTGACTTTACATTAAATAGTTGCATTTTAGGGAGAAGTATTATACTTTTGAAGGAACTTTTTCTTACAAATGCTGAATGTTAACATTAAACAGTCATTTAATTTGGAGGTGAGAAAGCAGAACAGAGCTTTCCCACATCCTCAATAATTGACTTAACTGGGAAATGATCACCAGATGTACTATTTTTAAGTAGGAAAATCTGAAAGAAGGAAATATTTTGCCTACTCTGGGTATACCAGGCAACCAGTCACAGGATGGCTGAGGAGCCCTGGGGTTAGAGATCTACTCTGGCTTTTGCCAGTGCCCCTAGCAGCTGTTTCTCAGTAGAACACATATACATGTGTTTAATAAAGCTCAACTCTCACTGTGGGGACATATACAGGGGCTCTATCTCTCTATTATGGCGACAAGGTAACATTGTTCCAACCCTTCATTTTTCTTCTTTTTTTGTTGATGATCTCAGTAATAAAAATGTGGGCATGCCTGGCCTCTCTACTCTGTGCCCCTGCAACTAGATGACTTCAATCTCTTTGGTTCTGAAGCCCATTTTTAAAATAAACTTACTTTTGCATAAAGGCCTTATTATGGTTGTTCTTAACATGCTCAGGAAAAGGAAAGACTTTGTGGCAGAGAACTAGATCTCTACTGTGGAGTTTGACAGATCATGGCACAAAGAGCTAGATAAAGTGCATTTGAGGTAGGGCTGCCTTCCCAGACCACTCTCATGCCAAGTACAAAGATTTGGGCTTCATGACAAGGTACCATTTGGTTGAACTAAAATAAATGGCTAGAATAGTAAGGAAATGGACAGTCGTTTTCCTCCTCATGTAAAGAGGTTTATTTAGATGCTAGGATCCTCCAGCAACTGGACAAGGCAGGACACTGGATGATCCAGGCTCAGCTAAGCTGCAGAGCCAGCATTCAAATTTTCATACACTACAGGGGATGGCTGGTTAGCAACTCACTCGTCGTTGTGTTCTGAAGTGTTTGAAATGGGTAATCTTTCACACTGCAATAAGTGAGACACTAGCCACACGCCATTGTTAAAATTTAGTTCCTCAACTCCCTTAGCCACATTTCAAGGTGTTTATAGAAAGCAAATGTGTACAGAGATAATGACACAAGACAGCAAAGATGCAGGGCATGGTCATCACCATAGAAAGTTCCCTTGGGTGGCATCAGTCTCAATGACAAGCTCAACGATTTCAAACCACCTATGATCCTCACTGACTCCCAGTTAATAGATTTTGTTAGAAAAGTGTCCATTTTCAAGTAAAAGAATCCTTAAAAATAATTTAGCCACTGGGCGTGGTGGCACACGCCTGTAGTCCCAGCACTTGGGAGGCAGAGGCAGGCGGATCTCTATGAGTTCAAGGCCAGCCTGGTCTACATAGTGAGTTCCAGGACAACGGGGACTACAGGGAGACCCTGTCTCAAAAAAAAAAAAAAAAAGACACACACACACAAAATAATTTAGCCTAGCTAACTTATTTTAAGATAAGATAAAGAAGGGTTAATTTACATACTTAATATTTGATATTTCTTTTAAAATGTAAAATCTCATCTTACTGGAATTAAGAAAAATATTTCTTGTGTGATTTTACTCTGTGACATGGGGTGGGAGGACTGTCATGGGCTGTGAATGTCTCCGCATATTTTTATTAGGTAAGCCAAGAAACTCAAGACTGAATAGCACTTTACTCAGGTCATTTCTCAAACCGGAAGCAAGCAATCTTGAGGGACAAGGTCATCTTTGTCTCTAGGACAAAGAATAGGCTTCCTTACTGCTTTCTACAAAGGTCTGTGGATTCCCCAAGCTCTGTGCTCCTCAGCCACAGTGTGAACTCAGCTCCAAGCAGTACTTGTTTCCACCCCTATTTCCCTGACACTTCAGCAATTACAAATAACTGCTGCTCACCAGGTCCATGTGACATGAGTAATTGAGTCCTTCACCTCTTACTCAGGAGGCTGATGTCACCGGCCAGCATCTACAAGTCAACTACAAGCTGATTTAGCTTGTAAAAGGTAAAAGTCAAACCCCAGGCTCAACATACAGCATCTTTCCTAATGAAGCACATACTGTAGTAGAAACGTGGTGGAAAACAATAGATCAATTGAGTTTCAAATGCTGTCTATACATCTTATGCAGCATCTCCTTACAGAACTCAAAGTTTCCAGAAATATTTAATGACCAACATGGCATTCTCACAAGAAGTAATAATAAGAAGTAGTAATACTGATATGTAATATTTACAATGTATACATATGGGAGAAGACAAAAAGATACATCTTCATATTCTGCGCTTTCTATCTTGTCTTAATACATGCCCCTTTTGGGGGTCTTTTTGAGATGGGGTTTTCTGTAGCCCCAACTGGCTTGGAACTCCCTATGTAGACCAGGCTGGTCTCAAACTCACAGAGATCCGCCTGCCTCTGCCTCCCAAGTACTGGAAAAGGCATGCTCCACCATGCCCAACATGATACATGCCTTTTTTAAGACTGTGGTTTCAAAAAAAAATTGACAAAAATAAAAAACCAAGATAATGGTAATAATGATACTAGAGAAGGTATTTTCCTGAAATGTTAGGTGTTCACCTTCTTCAATTGTTTGTGTATTTGTTTTTTGTTTATTTTGAGACATCATCTTGCACATAGCTCAGGCTACTCTTGAACTCATTGTATAGCTGAGGCTGGCCTCCAGCTCACAATCTTCTTGCCTCAGCCTCCTGTGCTGGCATCACAGGCATGTGCCACTACACCGTGCTAAATGTTCACATTCTTTAACACCACACCTCATAAAATTCAAAGCTATGCAGAGAATTTAAAAGAGTTCATATTTAAATGGGTTTATACTAATTGATCTCCAGATAACAAACTTGAATGGTCTCTATCAAGAAAAACCATTTGGAGGCTAGAAAGATGGCTCCTCAGGTAAGAGCACTGGTTGTCTGAGGTTCGGTTCCTAGCACCCGCATGGCAGCTAACAATCATCTCTGACTCCAATTCCATGGGATCCAATGCCTTCTTCTGGCTTCTGTGGGCATTTCATACGTGAGTACAGTTACATGCATATGTAAACACTCATACACATAAAATGATAAATTTAAAAAATTTTTAAAGAAAAGGCAAAATATAATGGCATGTTGATGATAGTGAACTCTGGGCAACTTTTTTCTAAAGCAAGGTAAATAACGATAATAGGTTACATTGGGTATAAGCAATACTTGTTGTAATTACTTAAATACCAACTCATGCTGCTTATTAATTCATAAGTGTGGTGAGACTGAGTGTAGTGTCTCCTATTGCTAGGTTTTCTTGGTGCCCAACAAAGTATGTGTAAGCAAATGTTCACCAAATGTTTTCAACAAATGAATATGACAATTCCCAGGGGCAGTGAGAATTAATATTTATAACTGAATACTCTGGGTAACTTTCTCTGGAAAATTAATGGCTTCTCAGCCCACGTGTTGGTCTGTTTTACTGTAAGTTGGAGGGACAAAATACCTCCTATCTAACTATAAATTTGAATATAAAATTATAATCTTGTAATTATTAAGTGATCTGTAAGTAGACAAAGCAGAATCCATCCCCAAATAGTTGTCTAAAATATGAAATGCTTTATTAATTTTTTGACTATAATTTCTACTTCAAACCCTAGGAAAATGAGAAAGTTGAGTATTTATAAGTTTGGGGAGTCATTTACCTATGTACTTCTTTGTTTCTTTGAATTTAATTTTTCGTTTGTTTCGAGTTTGGGTATTTGAGACAAGGTCTCATTATGTAACCAGGCTGGTTTCAAACTTGTGATCCTTCTGCCTCTCTATCTTCCAGATGCTGAGATTATAGGCATAAGCCACCACACCTGGCCTCTGAACTTAAATTAAAATTTTTTTTTTATTTTGTATTATTCGTGTGTGCGTATTTGGTATGTGTGTACCATGTGTGTTTGTCACATGTGTATGTGTCCACAGAGTTCAGAAGAGGGCAACAAATCCCCTAAAGCTGAAGTTATAGGCAGTTGTGAACAACCTGATATGGATTCTGGGAACTAAACAGGAGGCATTCTTAACCACTGAGCCATCTCTCCAGATCCTGAACTTAAAATTTTATACCCCAAGCTTTAAGCCTTTGAAGGAACTGCCCTTAAATAAAACATTAACATCTTTAAGCTCATGCACTTTTTCATTTATAGGAAATAGGGCTGTGGCAATTTCTCTTCATAGTTGATACAATGTAGTTAATTTTCTTACCTGATTGACTTAAGATCAGAACCTTAGGAAGAGATGCTGCACTGTTCTCTTTATTACTGTACTGTTTTTAAAAATTGTGTATGAGTGTATTGCCTGCATGCATGTAAGTGCATCCATGTTATGCAATGCCCCAGGAAGTCAGAAGAAGATGTCAGATGGATCCCCCAGAATTGGAATTATAGATGGTTATTAGCCACCATGTGGATGCTGGGTCCTCTGCACGAGCACCCAGTGCTCCCAACCTCTGAGCCATCTTTCCAGCTCCTTATTTCTTTTATTTTATGTGTATGAGTGCAGTTCCTGCATGTATGTACATGCACCCACATTGTATAATGCCTGTGGAGGTCAGAAGAGGGCATTGAATCCCCTGGAATTGGAGTTACCAATGGTTGTTAGCTACCATTTGGATGCTGGGAGCCAAAGCGAACCTGGGTCCTCTGCAAGAGCAATGCTCTTAACTACTGAGCCATCTCTCCAGCCCCTTATTTACTCTTGAGACAGGGTCTTAGGTAGCTTCAAACTCAACATGTAGCTGAGGCTGGCCTTGAACTACTGCTCTTCCTGTCCGTACCTCCCCAGTGCTGGGATTATAGATATGCACCACCATGTCCAGTTTAAGAAAGGGATAATTCTTTATAGAAACATTATTTTCTTTGGCTACCATGATAATGAACTTAAAGTCAAACTAGGGTTTTAAAATATTCCTTTCTCAGTATCATAGCCATTAGTACATTTTCCTCCCTGTTTAATAGACAGTTATGAATGTGCCTTACTGTCTTGTTTAAAATCGTCAAGGGCAGAGACATTTGGCCCAGCAAGACTTGGGTGAGTCCGTGCTATATTTACCTGCTGGAGGGAATGAGCATTTCTCCCTCAACTTCAGATCACAGGTGACTTTATAACTGGATGGAAGTCCCTGGAGCTGATGCTGAAACTGTGTCTCCTTTGGTTACTTCACTTTTCAAGAAGTGATAGAGGATGATGGAGCCTCATTATGCATTACTGTGAAGGCTAAGTAAGGAGGTGTTGGTATCTTTCAAGGGATGATGCTGCTCATCTGGCAGACGGTACTTACTCATGATTGCACATGCACTCAACACAAGTACATTCTGTACCTTGATTGCCACTCACTGTGAAATTATTATTAGAGGGCAAAGAGCTTCTTGCAGGATAATGAAGTCTGTGACATGACATGATCTGATGCTTTCTGAGGGCGACAAGCTTTCTTTCTTCCACTTACCTAATGCCTTCCCCAATAAGAGTGATTTGACAGCATTGAATTCAGTCCCCGAAGACAGGATGACTTGTCTCTTTGCACTCTGGTTAACCTACAAAATATCCCATCAGAAGTGAACATTAGAAGCGGGTATGGATTTAATGATGAGGAAACAGAGAGAGAACAGGAAGAGCATGATCAAAACATGTCATTTGTAAGTGCTATAAGGAAGGGTTAACAAGTCTTCTTTAAACAGTGTACAGAAGCGGGAGCCTGTTAAAAGTAGCTGGTCCCCCAATCTATCCTTTTTTCTAATCTGCTCTTCACAATGTGTCTCCACAGAGGATGGAATCAGTTGTTTTATTTTTTGACTTATTTTTATTTATGCATATGTGTAAGTGTGTCTGTGTGCAGGTGTGTGCACATGAGTGCAGGTACCTGCTAATGTCAGAAGAGGGTGTCAGATCTCCCAAAACTGGACTTACATGATTGTGAGTCTCTTGGTCCAGGTGTTAGGAATCAAACTTGGGTCCTGTGCAAGAGCAGTGCTGATTTTGAACTTCTAAGTCATCTCTCTAGCTCTGGAATCATCTGTTTAAAACTTAAAAACTCATTTTCTGGAGAGGACATGCCACATAGAGCTCAAAAATGGAGTTTTATGTACAGACTTAAAATATATTTTTGTTCAAATGCCACAGTTAGCTTACTCTCGTCTGATTGTTCTCTTTTCTTATTTATTCCATTTTAATGAGTTTCTTATGTTCAAATTGCTGCAGTATACATTCTTTTATAATCATGCGAAGACAGGTTCCCACTGAACTATTAATAAACAAATTCTACCTGTGGCCACCATAATAAATTAGGTGTTTCTTTACTAAATAAAGTAAAACAACTAAGGACATTTTGACATTTCAAAGGACCAAAGTGTAATCCCTTTGGAAGAATGATCAGCATACAAACAAGAGAATGAACATTCCCCTCCTCCATCCCTGGCTCATCTGGCTTTCCATCCTTTATGGAGAACACTGAGTGGATTGCTCTCATTAATGTTCATCACCAAGTTTTTGGCATTTGATTATTTATTTTTAGGTGCCTAGTTGCAGTTATTTTTTCCTCTGGGGCTGTTACCTTACCTCTACAGAAACTATGGCTTCTTCCCGGTTAATCGTCAGCTGGTGAAAGTGGCCGTCAGCCAAATCTCCAAGGTCAAAGTTAAAAGCATCTGGATCCTGATGTCTGTCTAATCTGTACCTGACCTGCAAACTTCCTGAAGGGAAAAATAATGACATTCTAGATCATTCCAGAGCACTTATACTATTGTTTACTAGATATATTTTTGGATTGATTTAGCATTGACCTGGAAGCACCCAGTAGCTACCATGCCTAAACAGTGGCAAACTCTCAGTCCAGCTGTTCAGTATTTCAAAGTTGAAACCAAGTGCATTAGTATAAGCAATCTCTCATATGTTTCTTAAATGAAAGGCTTCTGTTACATATATGAAAACTCAGAACTCAAATCTAAATCATAATTAAATTTGGGGGGGGCTGATAAAAATCCATGCAATACTTTGTATTCAGCTTTAATAATTATTATAACAACTTCAACACAAGTTGGTTTATCTAAAATTCCTCTAACAACCAGAATTTTTTCTAAAGTTGTTTTTCAGGACCAAAAAATAAGGAAGAAAAAAGGTTGTGTTAGAAGACACACATTGTTGTCCTAAACAGACTCACTCTAACTGCCCACAACTATCTTGCAGCTTGTATAAGACCTTGAATTTCTAGAAATTAAATTAGTTTAGATTGACTCACTACCCCAAAAACTTAAAGCCTGGCCTGTTGTCCAGCTGTGAAACCTGGACTGCCCCAACAGTCATTGGTGGAGGGACAGTTACTTCATGAATCTTCTTAGATGGATATGGTCTAACTAGCTTTTCAATCATTGATAATATAAACATAAAGAACAACAGTATTTCTCAGTTGCTTATAGGAACTGGCATTTATGTAGTTTCACTATATCAACCACACTAATAATCCTTTAACTTACTCAGAATGAGCAGTATCCAAATATCTTATTTCAGGATGAACTACAGAAAGAATTCGGATCATAATGTAGTATTAAAGACATGCTATAAATAAGTCTAATTTTATATCACATCTGTAAAACTATAAATGCATCTTAATTTCATCTTAATTTAACCTATGTCAACCATTATGGATGCTGCAAAAATAATTACCAAATAAAATTGATAATCAAAAAATAATTGGAAGCCATATAACACTTTTTTTTCTTTGCAGAGAAGACCCATGACATTACAATCCAGTTTTCTAATTAGTGTTTTGTTTTAATGTGATTCTTCCTTGTTATTTTCTTTGGTTTTGTTGTTTGTTTGCTTGTTTTGGCACACTGAAAAAGATACTCACCATTGTTGGCCAGGATAACTGAAAGATATTCCTCATAGAAAGAGCTCACGTAGAGCAGTAAGCATGGTGTCTGAGTGGTCCGGAAGCTCAGTGTGACTGTTTCTCTGGACAGTGTGACATCCCCATGCAATGAAGAGGCCAGGGAGCTGGTGTTCTCACTCAGAGTGGAGTGTTCTTGAAAATTATAGGTTACTGAGGAGCCAGTTTCAAAATATGCAGAAACCTCTGGAATGAAAAATATGTTTTTGTTGTGTTAATACAATGGAAGCAACAAAAATCTCACACTGAATGGATTTAAAGAATGGCTCAAATCCTTAAACATCCTGAGAGATAAAGAAGTGAAATATTTACCTGCTTCGATTTTTTTCACTTTTCAAATGTTAAGAAAGCTTTGAAAAAACACCCCAATTCTTGATATAACAAAAATCTAGAATTGAGAAACATCTATTACAGATGCTTGATTCCTCGGAAATCTTTACCTTGATTTATATAGGATGAGCTGTCCTGTTGAAATGTAGTCATAAGGAAATTGCTCTATGCTTGGGGTTCCAACTTTTTTCCAAAACGTTAATTTTTTAAAACATCCTTAGTAAGATAAAAGCTATTTTTATGTTTTAGATTTTATTTTATTTTTAATTATGTGTGTATGTGTGTGCATGTAGGGATTTATGCACATGAGTACCGGTGCTCATAGAGGCCAAAAGAAGGCATCAGATCCCCTGGAACTAGAGTTACAGGTGGTGTGGGCTGCGTGGTGTGGGTGCTGGGAAACAAACTTGGGTCTTTTACTAAAACAGTATGTGCTCTTAAATGGTTGAATCATCTTTCCAGCCCCAAAATATAATCTATATACCATAAAATAGGCCCAATTAAAGTGTGAAGTTCCATGTGTTAGTATATTTACAGACATGTTCAACTGTCACCACAATCAGTTTTAGAGAATTCTCTTCATCTCCTTTCATCTCTCCCCTTCCTCCTACAATGCTATGTCCATTTGGATGCCACTCTGCATTTCTGCCCAACACCCCAGCCTGGGAAAACACTAATCTACGTTCAGTCTTTCTGAGCATTGTTTTGAGATGTTTCATTCAGTGGACTCATCCAGTGTGCAACCTGTGATGATTAGCTTCTTTTACTCAGTGTATTTTCAAGGTTTTCCCATCCTCTAGGATTTATCAATATTCCATTTTTTTATTGAATAATATTTCATTGTCTGAATATGATATATTTTCTTGATCAGTTTATCAGTTGGTAGACATTTGGGTTGTTTCTACTTTTGAGCTATTATAAATAATGCTATGAATATTCATGAGCAAGTTCTTGTGTGGAAACATTACTTTCGTTCTCATAGACACCTAGCAATGGAATTCCTTGATCTAATAACTGCATCTTTAACATTTTGAGACACTACTAAATCTTTTCTGTGTGCTGGCAATGAAACCTAGGGCCTTGTACATGCTAGGCAAGAGTTCTACCATTAAAAAAGCTTCCCCAGCTCTTGCCTCTTTTTTCCAAAATAGCTGAGTAATTTTAGGTTCCCGACAGTAATTCTTGAAAGTTTTAATGCCTCATGACTTCAACAATATTTGATATTCTACTTCTTGTAAATTGTAATTGTTCTGTAATTATGGCTGACAACAGTTCAAAGTAGCTAGTAGAGAACATTTTGTGTTGCCACAACAAAAACAGTATATATTTCTGAGATTGCTATACCAATTTCCCTGACCTGATTGGTGTGTATTGTATATCACACTGTACAAAAATATGTCCCATTTCTGTGCCAATTAAAATACACACATATAAATAGCTTCCCTGGTGGGCATAAAGTTGTATTTCACTATGACTTTATATTTCTTTAATGGTTAATGTTGCTATAATGCAAAGAACTGTAACAGAACCACAGCTTTCAAATCAAAGTGGGAAGTTAGCTTCTATTTCTGATCCTGCAGGCAGCAGGTCCAGGGGAGTTATCTCCAAAGCCTGAGCAATAGGCAACAGTCCTTTTCCAGTATATATAGGCAATTTGGCATCATTTCAGACCTCCTCTGGCATTGGTGGGTGCCAGGGTCACAGGGCCTTCCAGCCTATATGACAAAGGCCATGAACAGGGACCTCTAACCTACATGTCATAAAAGAGGTGGGGGCCAAAAGCTGGAATTCAAAGAAGGAACCTTGTTTATAGAACCCAAAGCAAAGATTACATGCCTGTTTTCTCAAGCAAACAAGAGGACTGGTTTCCTAGATAAACTAGGATTTCTTTTCCAAAGTCAGCAGGGGCTGATAAACAGGGGCTATTTTCTCATGCTAGTTGCCCTGGGTTTTTTATCAATCAAGTTTATCTTTCTTCCTTAATAATTTCATTTTCCTCTTCATTGCTATACATCTTTTCATATGTTTATTGACCATATATATATGTATGTATATGTTAGCTGAAGAATATTTATAACTTTGTCCATTATTTAATTGGGTTATTTATCTTATTTTTCATTATGTTGAAAGAGTTACTTCAAATAATTTGGTTACTGGGCTCTTATAAGATTGTTCTGTGGTCAAAAGGCCATAAATGGCCAGAGTATATAGAATAAGCATGTGCAGGGTGTGAGCCCCTGGACAGGACTCCTCTATTAAACTTCACCCACCCAGGGCTCAGAGACCATTGCAGAAGAGGAGGTGGAAAAGTTATAAAAGTCGGGGCAGGAGGTGCATGACCATATGGAAAAGAATCTTACAGGTTCCTGGGACCTTGCTCATATGAACTTACGGCAATGGTGTCAGTATGTACAAGACCCATGCAAACTCAATCAGACAAACCTACAGCATAGAACTGGGGAAATGGACAGCAGGCCCCAAACTTAGCCAAAGAACTATTATTAGCAGCTGATCACTGCTGAGTGAGGGAGAGTTGATCTTTATGGGAGAGAGTCTAAATAGGCTGATTAGATCCCAATGGATGAACTTATACTAAAGGACATCTGGGTACACTAACTTGATGTGATAAGCCTTAACATATAGGACAGAATGCATGAAATCCTGTGTGTGAGAGGACTATAAGGGGGAAGGGATGGGGGCTACAAAGATGATTAAGATGCTTTATATGAAATGTACAAAGAAAATCAATAAAAAATATATATCAGAAAATATTGTTGTGTGGTGCTTTTCCCTCTAGTGATAACAAAATGCCATTCTTAGATGCTGTCCCATAGCCATGGCAACTAGAGCAGCTCAATACAGTGGTCACCAGGTCTTTGGTAATGGTAATAGAACCAGTTATCCTTTTTAGGGAGGGTCAGAAAACCCTTGCTTGAGATTCCTTTCTGCCAGCTGCAAGTGGCCTTGGGAGATGCTACATCATATAGAGAAGTGAAAGGTTGATTAAAAGTAGGGCTCCGTAACACAACTTCAATGAGATTACCATCCAAGATGGGGTGGAACTTTGGGTGATGTAGCTGTTTGGTGGACACCCACTGATACAAGGAAAATCAGGATACCCCCTTGGAATTCTTAGTCTCATTAATAAAAGAATTGAAGAATTGACTCAAATGGAAGCTCAAAGACAATTTTATTAGAGTTTAAAAGAAAACCCCAGGACAGGCAAATATAAACCTCAGCAGGGCATAGAGAAGGAGGGGAATGGAGAGGAGAAGGAAAAGAAGCAAGCTGTTTGAGCTGGCAATGAGTGTTAGATGCATGGCAGACAAGCATCCATACGGCAGGAAACGGGAGCTGCAGAGAAAGTGTAAGGAAAACCAAACTTTTGCGGAGGCCCAAAGTGTTAGGAAAAGCATGATTTAAAAAAGAGGCAGAAAGAAGAAAAGGAGAGGTTACTCTTTTCTGAAAATTTTAGGAAAACAGGCAGATTTATGAAGTTGCATGGCCGCTGCATGGTGAGCTACTGTGCTAGGGTTAGGAATTCTGGGAAGGAAAAGTGCATGATCTCATTAAAAGACTAGTTATTCCACCTATCTCTTTAGAGTGGCTTAAAGTGAACAACGCCTCCTAAGGGTGGTTCCCTGGCCAGGCAACTACCTGGCCCAACTGGAATGTCCACTCAGGCCAGGAGTTCTATTCTCTTGACCACAAACTTTTCCTTAATGGGGCTTTATTGCTACTCTAACACCCCATTCCTGTAAATAATCCCTCATCTGTGCTTGGTAAGAAAGCCCAATAAAATCACTGGTGTCACTGAGTTGGACTTGGATTTTTTAAAGTCCATCCTTGGTGCTCATATGGGGTGAGCATTCATTTGCATCTCCTCAGGAAAATTTAACACAACAGAGATAGATGATCTAGGTGGGTATGGTAACACAGGTCTGTAATCCTCACATTCAAGAGGCTAAGGCAGAAGGACTTCCATGAGTTTGAAGCCAGCCTGGACTACATGGTAAGACCCTGTCCCAAAGAAAACAGCAGTAAGATTCAGGAAGGGTCAACTTTTCAACAATGCTACATGGCATTGTCACCTCAAGAACTGTGTCACTTAAGAACTGTCCAATGAAGAAATTAAAAAAAAAATCAGGTAAGTCTTCAAGTAAGGTTGTAATTTTGTGTTGGGCCACATTCATAGCTATCCTAGGGTGCTTGAGACCTGCAGGCTGCAGGTTGGACATCCTGAATGATAGACTGTTTGCAAACATTTTCTTTCATTGGTTCATTTATTTTCCATCTTTTTGATGAAGCCTTTTGAAGCACAGAGATTTATTATGCCTTGTTTTGTTTCCTATGAAGTTCAGCTTAATCTATTTCTTTTATGCCTACATTTAGAGTTTTATAGTTTGAGATTTAAAGTAAGTGTTGCTCTTGTGAAACAGGTGAGAGAATATCCGTCTTTTGCATATATATGTGCTTATCCAGGTGCTCTGGAAACTGTACCTCCTCAGTGGGTTACCAAGGTGCTTTTGCAAAATCCACTGAGTGTGTAAACATGGGGTGTGCCTCTGCACATGGTGCTGCATCACTGACCTCTATGTCTGTCTTTGGCCATTGACAGTTTGGCTTGTTGTAGCTTTGCAGTAAGTTTAGAAATCAAGATATATGAATGCACTAAATTTGTTTCTTTTGAAGACCATTCTGGCTCTTCAGGGTCCCCTGAATTTCCAAATGAATTTTGCAGTCATTTTATCAATTCCAGGAGAGATCCCAGCTGGAATTTTGATAGAAGAATCCTGCCAAATCTGTAGATTGAGTTAGAGCTTACTGGCATCTTGTTTATATTCCCTGTTCTAATG